TATTACCACCATAAGGCACATCTTGTGCCAACACATGAAGGATTTTTGGTATTCTGAGGATGAATCACGTAAGCCAACGTGCTTTTGAAGCAGCCCGGCCAGGCAACGTTGTAACACAATTTCTGCCAAACAAACTGAAATTTAATGCTACACCGACACAAAAAGGACAACCTGTCAGAGATGCCTTTTTATAGGGAGGTTTAACCGTTTTAATCTGTGGTGAAGCGAGCATGCTTAGCGCTTCGATTAGGAAAATGTTTCACCTGTGCATGTTTGCCAATTTTATTTGGAGGCATGGCCCAGAGACTGTATAAAATCACTGCTTTGAAAGGAGATATTTGTAAACACGAGTAATAGATGCTAAATGTGTCTGGCATGTCTTTCATCACCAGCGGAGTTTCCTAATTAATGAATGGTAAAAGGCTTGAAATTCCTGTCACGCCTCCTGAATGCGAACTGCAGTGATGTTACTACAGTCCCTCTGTTTTTCGCACTTCCTCCCAAACTGCCCCTGCCCCCTAAGTGCTCAATCTCAACAATCTTACAGAAAAATAGAGGACTGTGAACAGTCTAAGAAATTTTCTACAAATTTATTTTCCGACGCTGTTACATTATGCTAATGAGGTTAAAGCTAATTAGCATGATAAAATTCAAAACCTCGTGGCTTCAAAAGACGCTTCATTTTTTGGTTTTGCACAAAATATCGTGTTAAAAACTAGCAAACATGAATTTACTGATAGAATTCATCAAAATAAACAAGGCTTTGAAGGCAAAAAGCTAAGCGGAAAGGAATTCCTGGGGTTTGAAGAGTATCAGAGAGTATATGTGGAAGACATGGCCGGCTCGGCGAATTGCATGCAAAGATTCTCTATACTGTTTTCTTACCTCGATTTTTGCTTCTTATCCTCCAGAATGCTTCAAAATAATTTGCTTCACTTGTATTTGGCCAAAATTCGTCGATACAAGCTTTCATTCTTTTTAAAACCCGCAACAAACTCCTTGCCGAATTTCTCAGTTTTCAAAAAATCGTAGCGTGAAGCTAATACAACCCACCGGGGGCTGGGACTAGCCAAATCTATTTGTGCGCGCGCCAAATTTGGAGACAACAGGAAGTAACGCAAAGTTTGGCGAATATATTTCGTTACAGGTCCTGAATACGCAAGCGAGACTTAATATGATTTGAAAGGCAGCGAAGAAATAATAATTACATCACCGCAAACTGCATCATGTCCAGATGAATGTTACTAAGAGTTTAGCTCTTTTTACGAATGATATCATTGGTTTGTGAGCATAGGCTAGACGTTCGTTCCTCCTTTATAATTATCAAATCTTAACTTTGATTCTGCTTTACAATTCTACATGACTTAGATACATGTCACCAGACTACAAAAATGTCATTTTCACATAATCGAAAAATTTACATTTTTTCAAAGTTTGGTCAAAAATTCGAAATGTCTTTCGAGTCTGTTTTTCTTTAGCCTGCCTGGTAGGCCTTTGAAAGGGATGGGAAAGGGAGTTTTAGGCGCGAGAGAAACGCGAGTGGGCGCGCGTGGTCTCGCGCCCTAATTCCCTTCCCCTTCCTTTTCGAACGCCTGCCACGCAGACTAGTTTTTCTTTGATAAAGGCCAAAACATGTATTTGTTATTATGATGTTGTTTATGATATAGTTTTTAGACTATAAAAATGTCATTTTCACATAGTCGAAAAATTTTTGTAATGTGATGTTGTATATGAAAAAGATTCTAAAAAGCCTTCTTTTTAAAAGAAGGCTTTTTAGACTTTAAAAATGTAATTTTCAGATAGTCGGAAAATTTCTATTTTTCCAAAGGGGGTTAACCCATGATTTTGGGCAAAACTTTAAAGTTTCTTTTGTGTCTGCTTTCCTTTGAGAAAGGCCTAGATATGTACTTTATAATTCTTTTTATAAAAAAGAAGGCTTTTTTAACTATAAAAATGCCATTTTAGGATAGTCGAAAAATTCGTCATAACTCTACAGGGGCATTTTGTGTTTGGGTAAAGGGATCATGATACGTTTCCGGGAAACTGCCCACCTACCCCTCCCCTAAGCCAACATTTTGCCTTAAGTAAGAAGTACGTGTTAATGCTGGCTTAGGGGAGGGGTAGGTGGACAGTTTCCAAGAAACGTTAAATGAAAAAGAACATGACACCCTAAAAACTCTTTTAGACAAGAGTAGCCGATAAGCTAGTAAAACAACAAAAGGATAGTGTTACAGTTTTATTTGCACTGTCGCTTCATTTTTATAAACTATATTTTTTGGTTACTATTTCCTATTTCATGTAAAAGGCAATACTAGTTTGTTTAAATTACAGAACGACGTGTTCACATTAAGATCAAAATTCACTACGTTCAAATGAAAACAAGAAGAAAAAGAAATCTCTTCTAGTTCTATTGCTACCTTTGATTTAATCATGTGTTAATTTTCAAACACTCTAAAAGAAAATGAGCTAGAAAACACGCTTCGATGAAAAGAAACTAAATCAACGCCTTCTTGTGAAGTAGAATTCATGCATGGTAGAACCGGTCGGGGAACAACTCGCAAGTACCGTCAAAATACCGCCTTCTATTAAGCCGAAACCGTCCTAAACGATTGTTGTCGGCAAATTCCGCAATGCTGTAAGAGTTTCCGAATCTTCCGAATCTTATTAACTGATCAGAAGAGGAATTATGCCATTTGTTAGACAAGTAGATATCTGAAAAAAGAGATTGTTCCCCGCCATGATCAAACTCCAAAATAACAAAACACAGCAGCCACAAGAACATGGCTGAATGTGGCTGGGTGTTTGTGATGCCTGATGCCTGCCGTTTTTGCTACGGTGTCAACCTAGCTGTTGAACGCCCACCACCAAACCTTACAAAATCCAGAAGAGCCAACATGCAATTGCATTCTCATTCAGTTATCATACTGACTGTTTCTCTACAATTGTTGTGATCATCAATCCTCAAGAGCTTCCTAGATGTCTGTAAATCTAGGATACACAACTTATATACTAAGTCAATGCTCAAACTGACTGTTCTTTTGCTCCTGTTGTGATTGTGGTCAACACAAGTTCCTTGAGCTGTATAGCGTTTCTTGATGTTCTAAATAAAAAAGAAACCTTTTTAGACCACAAAAAATGAGAACTTTTCATCAGGCCAAAAATTACAATTTTCCAAAGGGGTTAACCTGTTTTTTGTCAAAATAAGCTAACAAATGAGTTCCTTGGTTTTCTAAACAAAAAAGAGGCCTTTTTAGACCACAAAAATGGGAACCTTTCATAAGGCCAAAAATCCCAATTTTCCAAAAGGGTTAACCCACGATTTTAGTCAAAAAATTCAAATTTTTTCTTTTGTTTTTCGCCAAAATAATCTTAAAAATAGAGTTTCGTCATGTTCTAAATAAAAAGGTAACATTTTTAGACCACAAAAATGCTCACTTTTCATAAGGCCAAACATCGCAATTCTCCAAAGGGGTTAACCCACGATTTTAGTCCAAAAAAATTGCAAAAAATTGTATTTGATTTTTCGTAACTGAAATACGCTTAAAAAAAGTGTCTTCATGTTCCAAACAAAAAAGAAACCTTTTTAGACCACAAAATAGGATCTTTTTATAAGGCCCAAATTGGCAATTTTCCAAAGGGTTTAACCCACGATTTGGTAAAAAAATATCTAAATTTTTCTTTGTTTGTTTTTTGCCAAAAAAAAGCTTTAAAATAGAGTTTCTTGATGTCCTAAATACAAAGGAAACTTTTTATGGCTACAAAATAGGAACTTTTCATAAGGCCAAATATCGCAATTTTCCAAAGGGGTTAACCCACGATTTTGGTCAAAAAATTCCAAAAAATTTGTCTTTGCTTTTTCTCAAAATACGCTTAAAAAAGAGTTTCTTTATGTTCTGAACAAAACAGAAACCTTTTTAGACCTCAAAAATGGGATTTTTTCATAAGGCCAAAAATCGCAATTTTTCAAAGGGTTAACCAGCGATTTTAGTCCAAAAATTCCACACCATTTTTATTTGCTTTTTCTCAAAATAACCTTAAAAATAGAGTTTATTTATGTTCTAAACAAAAAAAAAAACATTTTTAGACCCTGACAATAGTGGGATCTTTTCATAAGGCCAAAAACCGCAATTTTCAAAAGGGGTTAGCCCACGACTTTTGTCAAAAATTTAAAATTTTTCATTGTTTATTTTTTATTAAAAAAAAGCTTGACAATAGAGTTTCTTGATGTTATAAATAAAAAGGAAACCTCTTTAGACCACAAAAATGGGACGTTTTCACAAGGCAAAAAATGGCAATTTTCTAAAGGGGTTAACCCATGACAAAATTTTTTTTGCCAAAATAAGCTTAAAAATAGAGTTTATTGATGATCTGGAGTATTAAAATGGGAACTTTTCATAAGGCCAAAAATCCCAATTTTTCAAAGAGGGTCTACATAAAAAAGAAACCTTTTAAACTTTATTCGACCATAAAAAATGGGAACCTGTTATAAGGCCAAAAATCCCAATTTTCGAACTAGTTAACCCTTGATTTTGGTCAGAAATTTCCAATTTTTTTAAAAAGTTAATTTAGGATGGCGACTTTGTAAAATCGATATTTTTATTGTCGAAAAAGCCTCTTATTAAAGTGGAACATTGCCGAACGTTTCTTAGGGGCTATCTTACCCAAAAACAGAAGAGCAAGAAATTTTAAATTTTTGCCGAAATCACAACTTATTTTAAAACCCCTTTAAAAGGATCCAATGTGACCATTCGATATTTTTATAGTCTGGCCAGGCTTGTTTTCGATTTTATTTAAAACATAAACCACTTTATTTCTAGACTTTCTAGGCTTTTTATCATGTAGCTCAAATACAAGAAGTAAAAAAAAAGGATTTCACCGCTTTTTCGCGGACAGACTTCAGACCTCAGATTTTTTCAAGCATATTTTCGTAATAAATGCTTTGCGGTCGTAGGACGAACACATATTTTTCTTACACGAAGAACATAGCGAGGTTTACCAACATGGCGGCCTCGAAGCTCGAAATCAATTTCCGCCGTCTTTTGGAACGCTGCGAAGCGATGGCCGCAGAAATCCAGGAGAATAGAGAAAACGTAAGCTGGAGGTTGGAAAAAGTGAGTTATAGCATTCATCAAAAAAATTGTTTTCTGCTACCTTTCATAGGATTTGAACAAACTGTCGACCCCAGCTGTCTGGTCGGGTTTGTAACAAATTTTCACCGTTTTTCTACTCCATATTGCAGTATGTTTTAACGTTACAGAGGCAAGCTGCCGAACTAAAAAAGTCAGAAAGGTTAGTTTTTAAATGCAGAGTAATAAGATAAAAGTTAAACGAGCAATACGTCAATGTATTAAAAATAGTGCTTTTAAATAATAAGCTTAAAACAGCTGATACAGGTAGTCTTTACTCCTGTTACTCTGACGGGTCTTTACGTCGGGTCGATTGTATTTATTATTCATATTTTAGTCATCACTTTAGAGCTTTTTTATCAGTACCTGACCTAGTTAAACAACGGAGAAAAAAGTCTTTTCATATTAAAGGAAAGAATTCAACGTCTTGGTATACCGACAATGGACATACATGCAGCTAGTTCATCATTTAATTTTCGTACCCCAATAAGGCGGACTAAAGTAGACCTGTATCATAAAAATGCGCTATAATGACAAAAGCTAATTTATTGATATGAACTAATCTGGCAATAGAAACCAGACCCATATGCACATTTCTCCTGTTACCGTATGTGTGTAGTAACTGTTAAACTTTTATCAGATAAAAGTGAACGTCTCTTTTTCAGTGCAGTAAGTAAGCTCATCCATAACCTGGATTAGATGGGACTCCAGCCTTGAACATAACTTTTCTTGACCCTGTCAGCTTCTGTTTGCCGTAAAAACAAGGTGGGGGCCCGCACCCCTCGGCACCTTCCCCTAGATCCTGTTTATCAGTAGTGTAAAGGTAGACATCTCCCTTTGGTAGAAGGCAGTGGTTGGCTGGTCTGAGCTAAATTTAAGTTGTCTAGCAGTATACAACATTCTGAAACGCAGATGACTTGTGTCTCTAACGTACTGTAGGCATCAGTGGTCAGGGATGTAGATAATGGCCAGTATCCGGGAAAAATTCCCGGCTGTCAACATAAGTTTTCCAGCTGAAAAAGATGCAGTTATTAAAAAGCCAACTGTTTTCTTCTCATGTTATCTGCCCATCAAATGCCATTTCCCATCGGTTATAAATTTAAGCTACATCCCTGGTGGTTGGCTGGTATCAGCCTCCAAGTTTCACTTTTTTGTCACTCTGTAACTAAACTTTCTTCAATTCAAAGCAAACATTCACATGGTGAAAAAACCTCTAATGAAGATACTGGTAGTTGTTTAGTTTTTCGCATCACCAATAAGTGTAGCTAGCATTTCAGGTCATGTCTCTTATGATTAAAAAAGCATACCTTTTCAAAAACTGGGAAATCAAAATATTTTGGTTCCATCAGCTTGTCGAGTCACATGCAACATACATTTTTTGAAATAATCAAAATGTTAAATTTTAAGTTTTTTCTCCCATTTACTTGAAGTAATCAAAACATTAAATATTAAGTATGTTTTATCTTGTTACAGCAAACCAAGTCCAGATGCAACGACTGAATACAACAAGAAAGTAGAATTCCTTAAAGGTTTAATAGAAACACAGAAAATGGTGAGACAGGGATCAATGTTTTGAAATCTTAAGATGCACATCTGTTGTTACATTCAAATAGGAAAAATTATTGTTTAGGAACAACTAGGAAATGGTTGTCATCAGAGAATATACAACAATAAATTGTATATCATTTGTATGTTAAGTATTTTACCATTAGTTGCATGTAAGTGTGGACACGAGATAAAAAAACATGTTCTAATAGGGTGCCTGACATGCCGTTAAAGCAAACTGTCACACCAAAGGTAATTTGTTTATATGTTCTTGATTGGTGTGGTCTGCTCATATTCCATTTACGTTTACACGTGACTTTCCGTACATTGTCTTCTGTTTTATTTACGTGAGTAAAACTTACATGCATATGCACGTAAAAATTACGGGACAGTGGAAATCCACCATCAGTCATAAGGGGAAAATCCAGGCACCCTTCAATTTCTACTGGCTCTGAAAATACCTTGATAATTTAGGTTTGTTAGAGGCTCTCAAATTCTCCTTTCCAAGAGTTTGTTCCCTTTAAATTTTTATTGCAGTTGAATACAAGTGTAGATCCATGTAAAATAAGAGTTACCTTCACTTTGTTTTGTAGAAAACACCAACAGAAAAACTTCTCGCCAGTCGGCAGTTAGTGCGTCCACTGAGTCAAACATTCAATGCACAGACCACAGAGGCGGACAAAGGACGAACAGTAAACAGAGCACAAGAACTTCACATCAGGGCAAAGTCACAGATTAATAAAGAGATGAGAAGTGAACTTCTGGGAGAAGGTCAGAATAATGCAGCTAAAAATATTTCACTTCTGATACAATGCACTTGTAAGTTAGTTTATTTGATATTTATTTTTGTTGATTTTTGTAAGCATCATGCACATTACTGGCTTACATTCCTCGACACATTACAAAGGTTATCTTTGCTTAATATTGTCACAAAACTAAGGACTTTCAGGGCACCTTACCATGGCACATTCATTTTGCCTTGTTTTTGGTCATTTTGTGACATGAAATACTTTGGTTTTTTAAAAGTAAATTGAATAATAAATTTTATTGATTTATTAGTGTTAAAAGTTAACAAGGAACCTTGCTTATTTTCCAGACAATAAGAAAGACAATCATGGAGTGCGAAACAGGTGACTGATTATATAATATTATTTCACTTGCATGTTACTAGTTTGGTCCCCTAGTTGCTGTAACAAATAACTCTCAAATCCCGCACAATCACTCTGTTTGCTCCCAATGCAACACTTGGCATAAACTATAGTCTTCAAGTGCTCCTGGGAGAACTGTGTAATTCCAAGGGCTTTTGAGAACAAAAACTTTATTTATACGCAAAGCCTCAATCGGTGATAAAATTGTTGAGACATTGTACACAAATAGGGTAACTTCAGAGAACAAAAGAATGAACACCCTTCCCACCTACACAATTCAAAGTTGGGTGTTTGTTTCTGTATGTAGCTTGAACAGCAGCACAACATTGCATGGAGGGGATGGGGGAGGAAAAGCTTTATTTTCACCTTTTGAAGTCAGTAAAACCTAAGAGCCCCTTTAGGGCAAAGTGTCTCAACTAATTTTGTCACCAATTGTTGGGAGGCAAACAGGGTGTATTATGTGGAAACTCCAAAAATAAAAGTCAGTGGAAACAAGTCCCTGATAGTAAGTCAGTATGACTTTTTAAGTATGCACTGGTGTCAACTTAATATTTTCTGCATCATGAATTGTTGGTTAGTGTTGAACAATCTGCCTTTTATAGCCTGTGTTCCAGCTCCTTCCCACACATTGTCTAAACCCTCAGAGTGTGTTCCATTTGAATGATCCAAATAAGGATCAGTGACTTGTGATCACTCAGAATATAGCACATCAAAGGACCCAATGAATCAACCCTGGGAAAGGATTCATCAGTTCACTTGATGTACCATTGCATGGTTTCAAATCGAGAGGTGCTGGATATGAGTCGGTTTATCATGGGCTAAACAACACGAGACCTATATAGACAGAAAGACCGAATTAGCAACATTCTCAAGTTTGGTGTTTATCGGGCCTATATTGAATGATATAAATAGACGTACGGACGATGTGACCGGCAATCCATACATGTACATCCCTTATAAAAGTGATTTTCAAGTTTACAGATAGCTGTATCTTGCTTGATATTGGCCCAATCGACACCACACTTTCATAACCTCAATGTGCTTTTTCTGACCATGTGGACCTCATGTTGTTTATCTCATAATAAACTGACTTGTACCGAGCCCCTCTCGATTTGAAACTAGGTAATGGCCGAGTGATCTCTGACCTGGATCATCCCAAAGGAACTCACCCTTAGTCCATACAGGCTGTACATGTAGTGTCTGCCATGCAGGCTACTTGTTTTTGACAATCTTTTTTCTTGAAGATTAACAGGCAACAAGAAAAGTGATGCAAATGATGAAAGCATTGACTCAGTTCTTCAATACCATCAGAACTTACAAGAAAATATAGCAGAGGAAATGATAAAAATGGCTCAGCATATAAAACATACATCTGTCATGGCCAGCAACATTATTAAAGAAGATAACAAGGTTACTAGGATGTTTGTCCTTCAATAACAGTAAATAACAAATTATTGGATGAGGTCTTTTCCTGACACCTGAAACAGAGTAGGTCAAGTAAAATTAATGTTATTGGCTGAAGCTGATAACTCTTACTGAGACTTTGATTATTGCGAATACCGTATTTCCTTGAATACTAGCCATCCCTCAAATAATCGCCTCCCTCAAATAATCACCCCCCTTTGATGGAAATGTTTAAAATAATCGCCTCCCCCACCTCTATAGGTTACCCACTAGGGATCATGTTAGCCATTGTGGAACTTGGAGGATGGAGCTAAAGTGGAGTCTGATTCAGCAAAACTGATCAGTGATGATTCACGCTCTGATGCCACAGAAATTGACAGCAAAAATTAATCAACACTTTAAATGCCAATGTTATTTTGTCTGATGTGATCATTTTTTTTATTTTATGGGAAAATAGAACAAATATTAAGGGCAAGACGTCTAGTCAGCAATATTTGAAATAGTCACCTCCCTCGAATAATCGTCCCCTTTTGGTGCGAAAAAAGAAATAATCGCCCCCAGCTATTATTCAAGGAAATACGGTATCCCAAAAACCAAATCCAATAAGAATTGTTTTATTATCCACGGTTGTGAGGAAGATAGTGTTATGATAAACACATTGTCCTTGAATACAAAGCTTTGTGCACACAATTTCAAGGCTGTCATAAATAATTATGATCAGCTACCAAGGTGACCCCTGGCCTACTGTTATAAATTTAATAGAAATATAAAAATAAAACCAAAAGAAATCTGTACCTGTTTGATTCCCTGCTTGCTTGTTTCCTGCAACTTGAAATCTTACTGACAGCCATATAAATTTGTATCACTAAGTTTCTTTACTATTGTAGAGACGAATTACCCAAATTTTGGGCAAAACCACTGCCAAGAATGCAAAAAGTCCACTTTTGGTTGACGTGCATTATTCCAAACAATGTTGTTTAAAAGCTACGGTAACATGGTTTTTCAGAATTGTTGATGTGGACTTAAGTTAAGGCTTTAAAACGGCTCCTATAAAGGATAATGCCTGAGCCCGAAGGCCTTGTTAAAAATGATGACCGAGCGCCCGAGGTCATTATTTTTAACAAGGCCTTGGGCGAAGGGGTATTGTTTTAATGTACTTTTCCATTGTTTTACAACCAGCAAGTCATAATTAGGGTCTCTTGTTCCAACTCAGTGACCTAGGCTTTAATTTTTTAAAAATAATAACTAATGTTCAAAACAAATAGAAATGCGCATTAATAACAAGGAAGGCATATTTACAAATTGGTCATTTGATGAAGCTCCATGTACAGATAACAGAGTGTGAGATAAACTTTAAAAAACTTACAGTTAAATTTTCTGTTCTGTTTTTTAGACCTTGGAGCAGTCAACAAAGCTTGCAGATTCAAATTTTGAGAAACTAAAACGAGAATCAGAAAGACTTGAGGAATTAACACAGACACCATGTTCCTGGTGGATTTGGATTATGATAATTACAGTCTGTATTGTGTTTATGTGGATGATTATATTTATAAGACTTTTCCCAAAGAAGTGATATAGTGATAACCTTAAAGCAGAACTCTTCAAACAAAAAAGGTTCCAAGAACAACTACAAAGATTACAATATTATTTGAAAATAATATGCAATAAAACAACTATAAACTAAGAATACTGTTTCAGCTTACTGTGTTTAATTTATCAAGAGTTAAAATTCTTCTGGCCCCAGTTGTTCGAAAGGTGGATAATGCTATCCATTGGATATTAGTGTCAATGCATTCAGCATGAAAGTACTAATAAAGGCCAATATTTTATATCTCCTAATGGAGACATGACTGCATTGCCATTTTACTTGGTCATCTGAGCCACACAAAGATCTAGCCATCTGAATGGCAAAGGTGGTACCTTCAATTCTTAGTTAATTTTAATCCCTGAGTATTAGTCAGGGCACCTGGGAATCAAAGCTGTGAAGCTCCTGCAATAAAAGCACTCTAGCAACTAAGGGTGATTCCAAAAGTCAGTACTGGGCGGCTGAACCATGATCGGACTAGTCAGTTTGAAAATGAAATCAGCTTTTTCAAAGAGTGTTTACTGAAAACCATCTCTTTGATGCAAACTATTCAGGATTTGACTCACTGATCTAGCTGGATAGTTTTGATTAAAAGTGAAATTCTCATTATGATAGGAATGGTCTGGCTGGTCGGTTCTGACAAATAGAAAGCACTCTAAGTTAGTAAAAAACAAAGAAAATTCAACCTAATTAGGATAAATAAGGCCAAGGGAGGGGAGGCAAAAGTCTTAAGTAAGGAGGGGGGGAGGTAGGGAAGAGAGGGTTGAATAATTGCACAGATTAGCCATACATCCATACACTTCCAAATGTATCGCAAATGGCTTGCAATCCCTAAATGGAAAATGACTGAATTGAGATCGCCCTCTGCCATCCAAAAGTTGATGCATAAAAAATCTACTATATTCTTGCTGCCTTCACAGCATAATTCACTCAGGTAAATGTACGTCAATAAATTTTAAAATTTATTTACACTGTAGACCTTTACTATGTTGTCCACTGAAAGGAGTAAATAAATTACCCAGCCAATTCACTTTACAGTTTCAAGTAGAGAATGCAACTTGCAAGTCTCATCTCTTATTTTAATACGTGTCCTTAATCACTGTGGAACTTAATGTTAGGGAAAAAATTTACTTGTAAATGACAAAATCACGGCTTTGTGTCAAACAAATATAGACATCTCCCAAGCAACAACAATTCACAACAAAAATAAACTTTACAGTTGCTTGTTTTCTCCCCTCGCATTGCCTTTTCATTTCCATGTGTTACACGATCTGTGTGTGCACTTGCGTTCTTCACTCGCTCTGTTTTCTCTGGGTGAAGTATATAGTACTTGTCGGAATTAACAATATTCTAAGGGTTGCTAAACATTGAATTTCCTTAAGGGAGGTTGTATCTCTATGTACAGAAATGGAATAAGAAGAAGATCCAGTGTAATAACATGATTAAGATAAGCTGTCAAACTCACATGAAGTTCACCTGAAAAACAACGCTCTCATGTGTAAACACGAAGTTAAATCACACTTAAATAGATCCTACAAAAGATTAACTACAATTTCCACTCAGCTTCCAAAGTAAAAAACGCATAAGTTGTGGCTTAAAATGAAAAAACAAGAGAGTCAAAAGAGTATTAAGCTTCAGTCTCAGTTAAAATTGTTGGGACACTTTGCTGTCTTCTTGCCGCTCCAATGTTGGTGTGCAAGATTTGGTGAGTTAACTGTGATAAACAACATTGGGAGGACGAGGAGACGGGCAAAAACTGAACAAACAGCGTTGGGTGGAAATGTCCCAAGTATTTTTGTTGAGACTGTAGTTATAAACTATTTCCCTCATTCATTTAGGCTATGTTCACACTTTTCCGATAGCTCTTGCTCTGACACGAAAAACCACATGTTCACACATAACACTGATTTGGCAAACTTGAAAGTGGATTTTCATATATCTGGTAAGTTTCTGGAACAAACCTCAAGAGCACTTGATTGAATAGGCTGTTTCCCTAACAATATTATCTGCTGGATATCGCAGAATTATCCAGTAGATAGTAGAAAGCGCTATGCATCTCTTGTCAATTGGGCCTATGAAGTGGGAGACAAACTGAAAAAAACTTTCTTGACAATGTCAATGAATACGGCACTGAGAGACAAGAACGCAAAACCTTTTGTGCTAGAATTCCCTCACTAAGGGGCTGTTTACATGAAAGGAGGAACATCCTGGTACCAGGAAGATCCTGGAAGGCAGATCATCCTTGCGCCATATGCCTTTTTCTGTATTCGGCTTACATGCAAAGGTTTGTACTTGTTCCTAGAGCTGGGATCTTCCTAGTACTAGGATCTTCCTAGCTGATCCTAGCACCATGTAAACTGCCTTCGCTAGGAAGATCCTAGTACTAGAGAAAAAAAAAAACAGACAAAAATAGCGCAGGGGCACCCAACGTCAATTTTCGGAAAAAATCTGTTCGGAAGACGATTTGAGATCTAGAATTTTCGGAATATTTTTTGTAAAATTTCTTGCTTGCCTGCCTCCCCTAGGATTTTCGAACATCTAAAAAATGGTATAATTGCCCATTTTTAACGGATTTTTACTCTAAAAACGTCACCTAGAATTTTCGGGAGCCATTTTTCTGGCTGAAATTTTCGAAAACGTAAGTTTTAATACCTGCAATTTTCGGATCACTAGACTTTCAGCTAGGAAATTCGAACAGATGAAAAATTTTTAGGGGATAAAAATATGCCTATATCTACCGTTTAAATACTAAAATACGTTAAAGAATGCTATGTTTAAGTGGTTTTGAACTATATTCTCGTTGGGTGCCCCTGATAGCCGCGGGTCGTTTAGTGGCTAGTCACCGCAATAAAGGCCGACCATTTCGTTTGGCGTTACCACGAGCTGATTATTGTGATAATTGTACTGAAAGGAAGTTGTTAACGCAAGTAAAGAGAACAGAAGGGCCCAAATTGTATGTCTGTTTTCGTCGCCCGCCATTTTTAATTCCTTCTCAAACATTCTATATTTGGGTAACACACGGACCAAAATTTTTGCATGTAAACCCAACGTAAAGTTGATCCACCTTCTAGGATCTACCTTCCTCCATGTAAAGAGCCCCTAATTGGGCATTACACTGATGAACAGTTTTTTGTTAGATATATTCAGAACCAGCAACTTGCCGTCTGTTCCTTCGAATCCTTTTCTTTTTAAGCCACACTTTTACTTTGTCCTTATGTATTACTCTAAACGTCTAAGAGTCGACTTTCTGTGCGACGCCTGAGTATAATGTCATGACGCTTTTGAACCTTATTTTACTCTCCATAGAAAGTTACAGCGAGCTCAAATGTGGATAATGATCGGTATTTTAACCGGAGTTTGTTTAAGTCATATATACGACTTTTGCCTGTAGCGCAATGGTTGTTGACTTGCAATCTCACTGTTTTCAGGGAGGAGCAATTCATCATTAAATGGTCACACAAAAATGGTAACCAGTCTTCACTTACTTCACGACGGATGTTGACTGTCAGATTGAGTTCAGTTAATGAGGTGTTTTCTGGAAAATTACCATCACGTCTTTCTCGAGAAAGACTGCCAAACTGTTGACCGTCACTGTAGTCATTGAGTGTCAGAGTGAGTGTAGTTAGCGACTCGTTTTTCGCTACACAATTTTTCAGAGCGGCTACCCACATTTCACAGCTCGAAAAGTCGTAATCACTGACTGTCACAGTGAGAGACGCTATTGAATTGTTCAATGAGAACTGTGCCATTGAAAGCGCTATCGAGTGATAATAAGTACGGGTGATGTTGTTAATCGTAATGACCAGTTCCTTTAAAGATGAGGTACTTGCTAGTCCAAACCTGAGACCTCCTAGCCAACTCACAGGTTTTTCTATTGAATCGTCAGAAAAGCGGTTTAAGAAGGTGGCATCGTAAGGGCTATTTCCATGTTCCATGTATTCGTTGCTTGTCAGACAGAGTTTTGTTAGTGAAGTGCATTCATCCAAACATTTTCTCAGAAATTTACCCCAAAAGTAAGTTAACTTAATACCGTTGATTACGACGGAAAGTGTAGACAAGGACTTCAGTGCCATCAAATCTTCTCCAAATTTCACCTCCCTGCCACGATCGTCAATTGAGAGACTAAATGTAGTTAATGACGTCATTTTAGCCAAGCTGTTGATCAGCATGCATTCCCAGCCTTCTGCCATGTTACTGTAGTTGCTGATTGTAAGACTTAAAACTGTCAACGAAGAACTTCGCAGCAAACTATCCCCGAGGTCTTTCCCTATTCCTGGATTCATCGTGTAGTTGATCACTGTAAGATCCAGCGTAGTAAGCGATGTGTTTTCTGCCAAAGCATCACCTAGCAGACGTGGCCAGTCACTAATTACTTCATCGTGGTAAATTATTTTAAGATTGATCCTTTCCTTTCTGGTATTCTTAACTTCAGAGAACATTGGTGTCAGCGATGCAGGATTGTCAATGGAGACATCAAGGGCATTACACGCTTCCTTAGGAACAACAGAGACGCCATGCTCTTTTACTTGAACAGTTAAGTTGTTATTTGATAGTTCCTGAAGTAGGGTTCCTGTCCCCAAGGCCAACTTTCTCCAAATATTGATTGTCAGGGATGATAGTGTATTTTGTCGTCCAATATATCTTTTAATAATATTAGCAGCACCGTCACTGAATTTTCCATGCACTTTCAAAGTGAGGCTTCTCAGGGGGACACGCACCAAGATCTCACATAAATCTTCCGCTCCACTACACTTCAGCTCTCCCCAAAGAACTACAGTTAAGTGTTGTTTTGTTTCTAGCCCCTTCTCGACCACAGCAGGACGAAAATGCACCACTTGATTACATGTAACACTGCTGCCAGGGTCTGGATCAAAAGTACAGTTAACTGACCCCTTCTTTACCGAACGAAGATTTTCCACAACAGACTGCCAGTTGTCAGGAATCTTTCCACAGACATTCAGCATTAAATCATTTAAAAAACGATTTTCTAGAAGACTGTCTTGAAGAGCATTTACACCAGAGAGACTAAGGTTGCCGTCAACGCTGAAAGACAATGACCTGAGGACGGTTTGTTGCCCAATTCCTCTGCTAATAACAGCAGTTACAAATTCTTGCACATCTCCAGAGACATTAAGGGAAAATGAGGCCAAAGCTTTATTTGATAAGAGCTTTCCTAAACCATGGACTGCAGTATCACTAAATGATCCACGAACCTGGAGTTCCACAGACTTCAAAGGAGTGTCCGCAAACAAAGCAGGTTTAATAGCACTGGCCCAAGTCTCACCGCACACTCTGTCAAGTTGAAATGTTACTTTTCTCAAGGATCCGCGTGCAGCTAACAATTCACCGATTAAAATAGCTGCGTTGCAAGGGATACTGTCGCATATTTGTAGGGTAAACTCTGATAAAGTAGTGTTTCCAAATAAGCCGTTGTGTAGCGCGTTGGCTAGGTCTAATGTAACTACAGGGGTTAAAAGGTTAAGTTTCTGTGTCTTTGGGCAGGATTGAATGTACCCTGCAATTCTCTGATAGCGACATAAGGGTATGTCATGATTTTCAGCACGAACGGTGAGAATAACTGGCTTCTGTAAATTACAAAAACTTTTGCATGCGTCTAAAACGTGAAATATATTGCACTTGTCCTGACTGGAAAGGTCAGCCTCAACTTGCTTTGGGAAGGGTATATAGGAACAAAGAGTAACTGCCATTTTTTCAGCATGTCCACTTTCATTGAAGCTCTGGGTAAGAAAAGACGCTGTTTCCAAACCTAAATAGTCATCGTGAAATTCAAAAACATCATAAGCTCGCATCTTCACTACTCCAAACTGTCTGCACTCGTTCCAGTTCCATTCTCCCCAGTTCTTCAGCTCTTCACCAATCTGGGCGAATAGAATGCGGGCCTCCATCCCCAGTATACCAGACACAATCAAAGCTTAAACGTTCAAACAAATTCAATTGATTTCTTCGCAATTTGTGCGCAATATATGCCGCAGCCAAGTACTCTTGGAAGGTTTTGTGAAGGAAGTAGTACTCATGTTGAGGTGTTAACCTCTTCAGACTTTCTTCCTTGTAAAGTAGGCCTATGTGACGGGATATCAATCCTTTGTATCTTTTTTCAAGCTCAGCTAATTCTTTTTCACGGAAACCATGAAGATCACTCAGCAGGCACATCCAAGCTAGCTCTCCGAGTGCAAGTATGTCCTTCTCAAAATACCTCTCTAAGTCGTCGTCACCTTCAGGGGCTTGCAGGTTGTGTTTAGCGCAATATCGTCTTAAAAGGCAAAGGACAATAACTTGGTAAAGCTTAGAACGGCAGGAAGGCAGCTTTCCCTCATAATCCTCATAGATTACACAGAGAAGGAGTAAATTAAGGGGGTTGCTTCGGAGAGCATGCAAAAACTCGTTGTCTTTTATTTCTGTTATGAGTCTCTCTCCCTTTGGTGAATGTCCNTCAGCTAATTCTTTTTCACGGAAACCATGAAGATCACTCAGCAGGCACATCCAAGCTAGCTCTCCGAGTGCAAGTATGTCCTTCTCAAAATACCTCTCTAAGTCGTCGTCACCTTCAGGGGCTTGCAGGTTGTGTTTAGCGCAATATCGTCTTAAAAGGCAAAGGACAATAACTTGGTAAAGCTTAGAACGGCAGGAAGGCAGCTTTCCCTCATAATCCTCATAGATTACACAGAGAAGGAGTAAATTAAGGGGGTTGCTTCGGAGAGCATGCAAAAACTCGTTGTCTTTTATTTCTGTTATGAGTCTCTCTCCCTTTGGTGAATGTCCTCGACCAATATTTGCAAAATGTTTTCTGATATATTCAAAAGCATCGCCTTCTGTGAATCCTTTGATCTCCAAATGAATGTCAAAGACGAATCTCTTTCGTACATCAATACCTCTTTCTTGTCGCGAAGTAGCCAAAACATAACAGAAAGGTAAAATTCGTCGGTGAAGCAGCTCATCCACATGACACTGAGATTTTTCAGGCAGCTCATCTAAACCATCCAAAATGATTAAAATTTTCTCCTGGTTATGAATGTCCTTCATGAAGTGCAAAAATTTCTCTACAGTCTCCTCGTCGATATCTCTGGGGAGAAGTTGTTCCCTTATGGTATCCATTATATTTCCATCAATGTCTCTACATTTGAGGAGCAACACAAACTCAAATTTGGGAAAAGAGCACTCTGATGGGATTTTTCCATGAACCCAGTCATAGGCAAGTTTGAGGCAGAACGTAGTTTTACCGATTCCGGGACTTCCCTCTACTAGCGTCATAGCATCCTCACCTTTTTCAAGGGTCTTGAAGATTTCAAATACTTTTACCTCGTCATTTTCTCTCGGTAAGTCTGCGTTTCCTTCTTCTGCTGGCGTCGGGACATCCTCAGCTTTATCAGGAACAGTGAAGTCGTTGAACACATTCGCCTCACTTTCGCCCACTTGCATATCTGAACTTCCACTTGTTAGCGTCATGACATCCAAACCTTTAAAAGGAGCTTTGAAGATGCCGAAAGCATTCACCTTATCGTCTTTTATCTGGATGGCCAATTTTCTTCGTGAAACGATTTTCAGTCTTGTGTAGACATTCTCTAGGGGTAACTCGATGGTGTTGTCCCAAAGAAGGGGTCTTAACTGAGAGCGCCTTTTGTATTCAGCTTTGAGCAATTTCACAACCGAGTTGTCCCAAACAGCTGGAAACAAAAAGGTCGGGAAATTTACGTCAATAAAACAAACCTAAAGGTTTTCTATTACAAACGGATTAAGTTTTTCATGTTCTTCTCCCCTCAGTCAGAAGGAGGGCCGTTAATTCGCCTGTTAAATTATACTTGCATGAAGCAACATTAGCAAGGATAACATCTTTCCACAGGTACCTCATTTTGGCAATTCTGACCAACCCTGACAAAAATATTATACACAAAGAACCACGTAACATTTTTTGGGAGAAATCCATTTTCTGGAAGTTTGAAGAACCACTCTTCGCAGATTAAATTTGTCTCTTTTCTAGAAGTCAGCCAGCCACAATTCCATGCGGAAAAAAGACGATATGGTGGTTAAGAAAGCTGGCTGGCTATGTAAATGAAAGGCAAAGGGAAAATAAAGGGAGCGAAAGAGAGAGAAATAGATTCGCAACTACTCGCTGTCGGACGCCAAATGGTTAAGCCCCTGCGTAGCTTGAGGGAATTTAGCTTACGTGGTCTAATACCTTAAAGAAAAGCACCACCACTGTATTTCGTCAGGTATGCAGATTATGAAGCTGCGCTCAGGGAACGTAAGACCGACGACGCAAGGCCTTACTATGCTATATTGAGAAAGTTTATTATACTCTCCCATATACATGCAATAAAATACTAACCCTTACTCTCAATAAGAAAAAGAAAAACTTTACCTTTATCTCCCACCAGTCTCGGATGTTTTGGAGCTGAAGTATTACTTGAAGATAACAGCCGTTTGGCTTTTTTTGAAGACTTGGATCTCTTTGCTGTGCCAGAAACTAAATACAGCAAATACCAACATAATTAGGCTTTTGTCTAAATAACTGTCCAGAAGATAATTTACCAATTAATCGATCTTTAAAGTATTTGTTTACCAGTCGGTAAGGCCATGATTAAAGAGGTTTATACACAAATGTAGATGGAACGGTAAATTCATACAACTGTCTCTACCATGTTCATCTTGACACACACACTCTTGGCACGCAATGCTGCTGAGCATACACACCACAGTCCTACCAACATATTCTTAACGCTACACACCATAAGAAACGAAGCTATCTGCCATTTTTAAGCCTGAGCGATCACAAGAGAGGAGAAAAGCGTGGTTCCATTTACGCAAGAGCAGAATATAATTTGTACCTAAACACAGTTGGACGATATTGCGCTCGAGCAGACCATTATTTGTAGGCAGTTATTTGCAGGTCACGTTGTGAGCGCCCGGCCAATGAAAAAGTAGAAAAACGTCCATCGAGTGATAATACGTTTAATGTAACAACGGAACGGTGTTCCTACAATTGTAATTCGGTTTTAATAATTCGTCTGACTTTATCCGTATGTTTATCAGTCAATATTGACGGATTTTGAAGACAGATTGTGTGGTTCCAGAAAATATCCATACTCCCCCCATGGAGGGTATTTTTGCTTTAGATCCCCCCACCACCCCAGGAATATCCATTCCAGGGAGTTCTTGAAATACCCCCCACACCTCCAGAATTTCCGTAATTTTTCAACTTGATTGGGTACACTTAAAAAAACAAAAAATAAATGAATGGTGAAAGAAGAAACGGAAGTTGAAATTTCCGGTGGTTAATGATCTACTCTCCACGTGCCAGCTATCCACGGCGTGCATCTTGGACTAAAGAATCGATTTATAGAACTGAGATCTGATATTTCCTGTTTTGCGTGACCCTGTCAAGAATATGATATCACCAAAACATCATTGTAATGTTCTGTTTTGGGAGTTCGGGAAGATCTGTTAACCATTCAGGACATTTAACTCTTTTTCCAAATTCTGACCTGCAACCGGCAACCTGCGACCTGCAAATTACACCCTCCGGATTTCTTTCATCATTTATTCAGCCTTATCTAGGCCTTTCTATTTTTTTGCTGTACGTTTTGCGGTAGATTTTGAAAGGCTCGCAAACACATTTTAGTTTTCGAAAATGAGCCATGGCAGCTATTCAAGATCATATTTTAATTTCTTTTTTAATTGACGCCGTCGCAGGTGACATAAATACGTGCCTTTACAAATATAAAAACAGTTTTTATAGTTCAAAAGATAGACTTGTTACAAAAATACTTAGTCAATTTTACAAAATTCAAGATAAAACCTTTCGTTGGTCCTTTTTTATCGCCTAAAAACTTAAAATTAACTTCGCTTAAATTGTACAAGCTAGTACTGTTGGTCGGTCCGTTCGCTGTACGTGCAAATGGTTATTTTTATTTTTCTTAAGAAATGAATCGTTTCTTGAGATCTTTTTTAGTGTTGAATATAAAAAAATGCTGATTTCTCGAAAGTGTTGTTCTATTTTTGTCTCGTCACGCAACGTTCCCGTTTAGCGTTGTGTGACGAGACAAAAACGGCTGCAAGGGAGACTTAGTAATCAAGTTTCGAGGATCTGGTCAAGACTGTCAACTTAAGCTACCGACACTTTTGATAGGGTCATTCTGGTGAACTAATTAAAACTAGGTTTAGGTACCCTGGCTCCAGGGTTCCGCCCTCAAAATACAAAATTAATGTACAATGAAGTAAAAAAACCCTCTAGTACAGAAAAAAGGAGATTGGCCCTTGAATATTAGCCGGCCCTTTAAAACTATTTGTGCCCTTGAGTTTGATAAATGATAGATTTGAAGCTTATCGATCAACCGATTAGGGCACCAGTTGTCGTGTGCTAGAAGTTTGACACGTTAAATATAGTTACTGATTTTTTGGAATGGGCTTTAGGAGCCCTTCGCGCCCCTAAAGAATTTTCTTAGACAGCAACTTTGAGATGAAAAATTCCTTTACTGAGAACCAAGGAAAAGAAAACATTTTTGTGCTTCGTCTCCTTTAGCGACGAAAAAAAAACAGCTTTAGGAACTAAACGCTTAATGATAATCGTTCACTCAAGGAACTGAAGAGAGACCTGACTACGGTTTGCACCAAAATGTGCTAAAAAATTCTTAACTCGGGTGGTGTAGCTTCAAGGTGTTGTGAAGCACGTTCGAAGTTTGGAGGGCGGGTCAAACGTGAGAAGCGTGCGATTTGCTCCAAGTGTGAGTGACAGTGACTCGAGCTCCTTGACTGCCCAACTTCAAACCTTGAAGCAGAGGGGGCGGTCATAATAAGGCCTCAATCAATGGACACAAAATCATCCACTTTGTGTTACTTCCGATGCAGTGTGTGATACTAGTGCTACAATAGTCCCAGCAGTGTGCAGGATGTTTGTCACATGAACCTTAAGTTTAGTCGCCTTAGCTTTCACGAGTCTTTTGTAGCTCAGTGGTAGAGCATCTGGACCAGTAACCAGAACCTCATAAATTCGACTCCTATTCGGGGAGTACTTGAATGTTTTACGAGCCGCCTGTATCACTGACTGAAAATATCTTCCCCACTAAGATGGTTGTACATATACAATATACATACAAAGAAACAACTAGCCTTTATTTGAACTTGAGCAAAAACAAACCTTACCTTCATCTTTCAATAGCCTTGGGTATTTCGGGGCTGGAATGTTACTTGAAGATAACGGCCTTTCGCCTTTCTTGGAAGACTGACGTTTCTTTGCCGAGCCTAAAATCCAATCAAATACTGTTTTTGTATTTTTCTCCATTTTCATTTTTTACCTTCACGGTATATACAGTAATATTCAATCCTTATATCCATTCCATTTGCAATTGTACTAACTAGCCACATAAATATGGCCTTTCTATTTAAGAAGCTTGAAAAAGGCCTGTCAGGCATTCAAGCCCTGAATTTTGTAAGTAATATATCAAACATGAGATGCAGTGTTTCATCACCAGATGAAACACCGAGAAGAGAGTTGAAAATACGACGCGCAGCGGAGTATTTTTGACGAACTTCGAGGTGTTTCATCTGGTGATAAAACACTGTGTCGAATGTTTGATATTTCTTCTCAAACAAAATCATTTTTGAAGGAGAAATTAAGGATGCAAATACTAAGCAGTGTTTCATCCGATTTCCAAACACTCATTAAACATTAATTTCCTTTGTATTTTCTTAATGAATTATTAATGAGTTTGAAAATATTATTTCCAAACGCTGCATAACTCTGTTGAATTGAACTAATCAAACAAAAAACACAGGACGAGACAGACTTGGATTCTGGAGTCCACACTGGGGATTCCGAAATCCAGGTAATGGATTTAGGATTCCAGTTGTTGAAATCCAAGGCCAAGGATTTCCTATTCCACGAAAAAAATTCCCGAATTCCATATTCCACAAGCAAAAGTTTCCCGAATTCTGAAATCCGGATTACCATTGGGCAATCAATAGCCCTATTTAGATTGTATGTTCTGTTTTCCCAGAGGTCCAAGGGGAACTTGACACTTTGTGTCTTTTTATGTGTAGATACATGTATGCACGTGAATAAGATGTAATTTGAAAGAAACAGTTCTCTAGAGTATGAACACATGACCTGCATTGGGAAAACAAAACTTACACGCTTAAGAGGTCTAGTGTTACTCATCACCTCTACACTGTGGCTATGACCAGCATTTAGATGTCGCAAACCGAAAATTTCACGTTAAATAACCTATTCGAAACAACCAAGCCTCTTTGATAAAATGCAATTTCCTTATGGTGTGGTCCATTACCCTACTTAGCACGAAAAACCTAAACCTGAGGCGGGTATTATTTCTCAGCATCTAACATTGTTAACCTGTAACCAGTGTGAAAACGTTTTGACCTTGTAAGTCAGTCTTAAAGGAGTCTTGTTCAATGCTTCTTATGTATGTTGTGAAGTTTTCACTAATGCTGTCATTGTAATTGCGTGAACTTACAAATGTACATTCCCTAATGCCAGCAGATTACACAATACCAAGACCAATTTGAATTAAAAAGTGAGCCTGTTACCTTGAGAAATGGCAAGCATTCGTTGCACAAGTCTATTACAGTGATCCTGCCAGCTGTATATCTCTTCATACTCTCCTTGAAGAAGCTTGGCCTCTCTCAGTCGCAGCTTCCTTTTTTTCTTCCGAACAGCTTTAATTGCATTGGCCCAATCTTTAGGATCTTCTGATTCCACCACACAATTTGAACCGATCAAAACTTCCTGTAAGGCCTCGCCAAGACCAGAGTTTCCACTAACCAGCACAGGCAGACCAGCTGATAAAGCCTCTAGGGCAGCTAGACCGAAGCCCTCAGTTCGTGATGGCATTACAGCAAGATCTACTTCACAAAACAAACGGGCTAACTGCTCTCTACTTTCATTAAAACAACGCACAGTTAGTTGACTTCGATCAATGCCTTGCTTAAGTAATAAATCTTTTACTTTCTCCTCTTCTCCACTTGGAGCTCCAACAAACAAGAGCTTATAGGGCTGTGGCTCGTCTTTCAACTCCGCAATAGCGTGAGCAGCGATGTCATATCCTTTCAGCTGAAAGTCTTCATTGTCACCACGTCCAAACACTAAAACACTGAATGTTTTTCTTTCTTCATTGGCTTGCTTTACATCAGAAAACTCAGAGAAGATGCCTGGGGTAAGATTGAGGACTTCTTGATCCTTTCCACAGGCACGGAGATAACCTGAGAAAGCTTCAGCCAGCTTAGGACCAACTGCTACAACTTGATCAGCTTTTTCACAGAGTTTTACCTCAGCTTGGTGCTTTTTCTCGCCTCTTGAAATAGCATCTGCATAGGACTTGTACATACCAAGCTCTTCAGGAGCTGTATGAACGACCTGAATCCACTTGCAATGATGATGTCGTTTTATAATCTGCACTTGCCGACCAAGAACGGCTCCATGTCCTATCACAAAGTCCACAGAATGGTCTTCCGGCAAACAAGATAACCAGAAATTTGGTTCTAGGCCTGGCATTTCTTCTGCTTCAATAAGATGGACATTGTGACTTGCAGCAACTCGTTTATCTTCCTCGCTGCACTTGGGGAGATAAACACTGACCTCCACGCTGGGGTGTTTAGCCAACTGAATGGCCAGCTCTCGGTTGATGGTTGACAAGCCTCCTTTTGTTGATCTCCATTCACTGCTTAACAGAGTTACTCTCAATTTCCTGGAGGAAGTGGATCCTGAAATGCTTTCATGGTCTTCCGTTGATGTAGAGGCTGTGCTAGGAAAGGATGACAATTCCTAAAAGAAGAGTGGCATAAATTTATTGATGGGTTAATTAAAAAGCTAACCTGAGATCAGGCTCAATTTTAGCAGTTCTCATACATTCCCTCTTATGTAGTCCCGCTTACATTTCTCTTTTCATTTCGCCTTGCCCACTGGAATGTTATTTACAAAGAGAAATGAAAGTAGAACCCCATTTCAGCTTATTAAAAAGCCTTTTTAATAGTAAGTTCATGCAAACTTAAATCAAGCACTGTCTTCCACTGCTTTTCTGTCGGCGAGTGCTCTTGAAAAACTTGACTAGAAAACATGTAGGACATTTTTTAAGCTTGGGCTACCTGTGGTGTCTCATGTATATGTATATCTCTATACCATAAGCCCTCTATTAACCCCCCGCTCCCTGCCAAATAAGCCCCCCCCCCTTTTCAGGGGAAGAAAGGTATTGAGCCCCTGCTCTCTTTTATGCCTCCCCTCCCCTCCCCTTTTATTCTTAAATGAGAGACTGTATTAATTAATTTTGTACTGTAACACTTGACATAGACTGGCCCAGTATGATTGGGTGATTTATTCATGTGCTTGAAAGGGAGAGGAACAGAGACAACTTGTAGGGTGAAATGTCAAAGATGACGCACGTTACTAAGAGTGTCTCAACAGCACAGTGCACCTGTACCACACTAAGAGGTGTGGACTACGTGTATGTAAACAGCACAGTACACGTACCTATACCACACTAAGAGGTGTGGACTACGTGTATGTAAACAGCACAGTACACCCGTACCACACTAAGAGGTGTGGACTACATGTATATAAACAGCACAGTACACCTATACCACACTAAGAGGTGTGGACCACCTGTATGTAAACAGCACAGTACACCTGTACCACACTAAGAGGTGTGGACTACGTGTATGTAAACAACACAGTACACATGTACCACACTAAGAGGTGTGGATAACACGTATGTAAACAGCACAGTACACCTGTACCACACTAAGAGGTGTGGACTACATGTATGTAAACAGCACAGTACACCTATACCACACTAAAAGGTGTGGACTATATGTATGTAAACAGCACAGTACACCTGTACCACACAAAGAGGTGTGGACTACATCTATGTAAACAGCACAGTACACCTGTACCACACTAAGAGGTGTGGACTAGATCTATGTAAACAGCATAGTACACCTGTACCACACTAAGAGGTGTGGACTACATCTATGTAAACAGCACAGTACACCTGTACCACACTAAGAGGTGTGGACTACGTGTATGTAAACAACACAGTACACATGTACCACACTAAGAGGTGTGGATAACACGTATGTAAACAGCACAGTACACCTGTACCACACTAAGAGGTGTGGACTACGTGTATGTAAACAGCACAGTACACCTATACCACACTAAAAGGTGTGGACTATATGTATGTAAACAGCACAGTACACCTGTACCACACTAAGAGGTGTGGACTACGTGTATGTAAACAGCACAGTACACCTGTACCACACTAGGACATGCAGACTACATGTATGTAAACTGCCCATCTCGGGCCTGTTTACATGGAGTGGGGGACCCTGATCTAGTGGGGTTGGTTTCTTTTGGTTTCACGCTCTGGGGGACACAAAACAAAAGAAACCTACCCCACTAGACCGGGGTCCCCCACTCCATGTAAACAGGGTCTTAATGATATGAAATTAATAAAATGATCACTTAGTGAAAATGCTTTAATCGTTAATCAAATTCTCTTAACTACATGTGATTCTTTTAAGGAATGCATTGAGATCAGTGTGGAGAATTTGTATGTGGATACTGGTGCTGAAAGGGTTGAAACAAGCCATTGAAGCCCACACAGCAACAGCAATATTATTATCTTGGGTTGAGTATCGTGAATTGCCAATAACTATTGACAGCCCAACTTCCCCGACTCCACCCTGGATGGGATACTAGTCCATGACAGCATTGCTCCCAATGGTATGTAGCCAGTGAAAAAAAAAAAAAATTAAAAACCTGTGAGAGGAAAGGAAACGTGAGAAAAAATTTTTTACTTAAAATCAAAATGGCTGAGAACAACAAAACAGGGAAAAAATGATGTTGT